GATGTTACTATTGTTTTTTGAGCGCATTTACGTGTCAGGATTTGTGAAACAGGTTCTTTTTTTTTTTTGATTCTAGTTTATGACTTGGTGCTCAGCGAGTGAGCGGGATCGCATTAAACCCCGCTGTATCCTGACTTCACGCATATCCGAGACGGATGTTATCGTCTTAAAAGGGGCTGGTTATGAATTCAAATTTCGGCGCTTTTCATGCGTCGGTTGGGTCTATAGATAATCCTGCTAAAGCAAAAGCATTTTTTCTCCGAACTAGCACGTTCGCTTGTTCTACATAAGCAACTATTTATTCCAAAACGCATAATTACGGCTCATTTTCTGTGCTGGTTTTCTTTTTTCGGTAGCTGTTAATGGCGATTGTGTGTGTGTTACTTGAATGAGTTTACTATAAATGCAGAAGTTGCAGGCAGTATGAAGATGAATGGTTACAACTGGGTCTCGAAGATGATAATCTGAAATGCAGTAGCCCTCCTGCTAATGGATCCTCGGATTTTGGACTGACAGTAGGGGCACGGTCATGCCCATCGCCGTTAACTCACATCCCAACACGGGAATCATACCCCGTAGAGCCTCCACCGAAACTGTCTCCTGTTTCATCGGAACAGCAAACATTTATTACTTTGAGTAACAGCCGTATTCCTCCTGTTCCTTCCGGTCCATCACAGCCTCTTCTGCAGCCTCCACCACAGACGCAGTCTTCCGAACTTGGTAGCATTGAATATGAACTAAATCCAGACCTGAATGTTTTGTCGATCCCGTCCAGTTCTCCAATGCTTGTTGCTAAAACAACAGAGCTGCAGTTTGCCCAGCCCTCCGTATCGGGTCTTCAGCAGAACGGCGATTTCGCATCCTTTGTTCAGCTTGAACAGAGGGAAAAAAGTTAGCATTTTTTTTTTTTAGTTAGACGATTCTCGTGGTACAGCAGCATAATTGTGATGAAATAGCTATTTCAGTGTGAGAGATTGGATTTTACTCATTTCGAGCATGCTTGACTGTAGCAATGCTCACAGTGTAGGACAGCGAGTTGGATGTCGGGACTAAATTTTGGCCAGTTTCAGGAACGGTCATTCAGCCACAGCAGCAGCAGCCTGGTTGCGTTCAAACTGCCAACGGGCAGTGGTTTGTGCAAGCACAACTTCAACAAGTACAGACCAGTGGTGGCACAGTGCTTGCTGTAGTGCCCAATTTTTGTCGTTCGCAAGTGCAGATATCCGGGAACAATCAGAACCTTGCGCAGGTGCAGGTTTCTCAGCCACAGTTGATTGCGCATTCTCTGGATGCTGCCGGTGGCGGCTCTCAGGCAACTCAGCATGTGCTACAGACCCATCCAGCACATCATCAGCAGCAGCTTCAGCAACAACCCCAGCAAATCGTACACGCTACTCGAATGCCTCTCGCTGTTGCTGCCGGTGCACCTCAGCAGGGACAGTCTGTTATGCAGCATCTCCTCTCTCAGCCCACCATCTCGCGCCCACATCTTGTACGTTCTCTTTGCTTTTTCAGCATTTCTTTGTCCTTGGCAGATTGCATCCCACGTCGCTGCCGGTCCAGAACTGACTCTTCTTGGACAAAAAGAATCAAATGGTCAAAACTACCTTTCGTCGCAAAATATAATAACTGAGCAGCAGCGGCCGCCCGGGCAGATTTGTCCCGTTGCGACTGAATATTTCATGTGATTTTACACTGCTAGTGCCGTGCCGAGAAGAGAGAGTAATGTAAGGTGTCTGCAGTGCAAAAAATCAGTGAGTAAGTGAGCCAGATTTTGACCCTGGGAAAAGCAGCCAGTACGGAGCTGGTGTGCAGCTCTCCTAATTTCCTCTGCCTCGTCGCGGCTGAACTCATCACTGGAATCGTTTTGCATGACGTGCTAAATTTGGCCTGGAGTTGCAGTGCTGCTGAGTTCGTCTTTCCGTTCGTTTTGATATCGTTTATTGCAGCTAATTTCACTACGGAAACTGTAAACCAACCAGCCAACAGCCATTTCAAGATGCAGCTAGACTGCTTGCACTGTTAGTTAAAGCATGGACTCTGGCCTAGTGGGAGGTGGTAACGTCGTTTGGTCTTTAAAGTGTGTGCCTCTTTTCCATCTCGCCTGAACGTTCTGGTTCATTACAAAAAATAAGTAGCAACGCGCACCAGACTAGCTGGCGCGATCATGCGTTTTGTGCAATTCAGCCCATCGAACGATTGCCTATTAATGATTTTCGCTGCTTTGTACTTTAGTCTATGCAAAAATAGTTCAACAATTGGGAAATAGTTGAAAATTTTACGCACCTGTGCATGAAAGCTGAATTCGAAACCTTGAAGAGTGAATATCTTTTCGTGATTCCCGAGCTAGTAGTTCACTCGCCAAAATTTTCATGAGGCCGTAGATGATATTCAGGAGCGCGGGAACGCTGAATTTGAATAGGCAAGGTTGGGCGTGGGCAGGGGGTCATTACTGTAAAATTTCAGCTTCCTGGACTCCATTGTTCCAGAGATAATAATTTACTCGTAAAAACTTTCATTAGCCCATAAGTGATACCCGAGGGCGTGGGAACGCTGAATTTGAATGGGCAAGGTTGAGCGTGGACAGGGGATCATTGCCCTAAAATTTCAGTTTCCTAGACACCGTGATTCCCGAAATAAAAATTTACCCGTCAAAAATTTTCACAGGGCCGTAGTGTTACCCGCGGTACAGGAAGATTGAATTTGGGCTTTCTGGGTCGCACTTGGTCAGAGAAAATACCCATAAAATTTTAGCTCCCTAGCTTCAGTAGTTTCCGAGATCCTGATTTTACTCGAAAAACCTTTACGGGACCGCACGTGTCACCCGCGGGTACGGGAAGGCTGAATTTAAATTTGCCGCGTCACCCGCTGGCTGAGAACGCTGTACCAAAATTTCAGCCGCCTAGCTTTTGTATTTTCCGAGTTGAAAGTGCGAGACAAAATGTGGGACACCCACACGCAGAAAATCCTGTGACAATATGAGTTTTGTGCTGCTGTTACACAACACAAAACGCATAAAAAGGAAGTGGCGAGACGCGAATGGTGGAGAGGGAGGGATGAGAAGGAAATGTTTTACTGAATGACTTGATGAGTTCTGTTTTCTCCTCTTCGAAAATAGTATTTGGCTGATTTTTATTTAGCAAGCGACAGTTCAGCCGTTAACATCAGCGCCAGCAGCAAAAAAGCGAAATCCGCAGCCACGGAATGGACGGAAAAAGGTTCAAAGTTTTTTGAATTTCTGCTAATTAAAACTGGCGAATAACTGACATTTTGTATTGAGAAACTTGCGTTGATTTGTTATTATTCCATGGCGTCACGTCTTGTCCTTGATGCATCCTTGCAGCACTTTTGCGATTGATGTCACTGAACATGCATTGACCAGTCTCTAGGCCATTTTAACGTTCATTTGTTATCTACCCCTAATTCTTTTTGCTTTTTTTTAGCGTTCTTCCCCCCACACTTTTCCATCACGACGTTCTGCCTCAGGGCAATTGCGTTAGAAATTTTTAAGAGCGCCGACGTGGGTCAGTACATAAATACATCGGAAGGCGACCACGTGAAGGCTGTTGATGTCAAAGTTTACACCTGCTTGGCAGCGCATTTGGTACATTTTATTGAACGAATTAGTCTTGGCTGCTTATTTAGTTCTTCATCAGCAACCGATTACTTTGCAGAAGGAGAATGTGGTCCAGAGTAGCACAGTGGGTGCCGTTCTTACAAAGGCGAACAAGATTGCTGCCGCTGCGTTAACAGACACTTCAGTCAATCAAGTGTTACATCCGTCGCATAGCATTGAAATGAGATTAAGTGTACAAAACAGTGAGCTTGTGGCTAATCTTTCGAGGGAAATAACGCGCTTGCAAAATCAGGTGAGTTGCAGAATCGTTTGCGTATTTTCCTCATTGCATTGTACTATCATTTGTTGCGATTGTTCACGTCTCTGCTCATTTAGCAAAGGACATACCGTGTGGACTATTCAGCCGAAATCAAGGAGCTGGAAAGTAAACGAGCGCAGATATTTTTTGACGCTCTTGCGCAGCAGCACAAGTATGTCATTGTTTGATTTCTGTTACCTGAGTTTTTTTTTTTCGTAGGATTTACATTTTCCAGCACTAGCTGTATTGCTTCATATTTTAAGGGATAAAGAATTGTTGTTGGCGGTGAATCCGAAACTGGTGACGTCTGCAGTGCCGAACAGACAGAGGAGTAATAATAGTCATGCTGGTGCAAATGCTGTGATAATTCATCAAGTCCAGCCTTCAACAAGTTACGAGCAACAGCCGCAGCAGCAGCAACAGCCGACCTTTGGAGTGCCACCAGCACGAGTTCCAACCTCTTATCAGAATTCTTATCACTTGCCTCATTATACTTCAGCGCATGAAACAGTTCAGAACAACTCGTTCAGCGCATCCAGTACTAGCCAGTTACAACAGGTACATACGTCAATTACGATATACCATCAAAAACGTTTATGCTCTTTACCTTTAAATTCATAA